CGATGCCATAGGCCTGCGAGTAGCAAGAGGCAGAACAAGAAGATCAATTAATCAAAAAAATCACCAGGCAACGGCCATCCAAAGAAGCCCTTGCATGCGTTGAGGTGATTTGCGACTACTCGTCCACGCTCGTCAAATCGCGCATAAAGAAGATAGAAGAATATAGAGGCACGTACTCCCTTGCCGAGCTTCTGGCCAACTTCGTATCTCTTCAGCACATGGCGATCAACTTCCTCGCTTTCGTCGGCTCCGCTCATCTGCACGCGCCACCCAACCATACGTAAGCTGCTGCAAAGGCCACAGTACTCACTCAAGCCCCTGATTCATCTTCTAAACCCCAGGGTTCGGGGTTCTGCCTTCGTTCTTTTGGTTCGCAAAAACGAAGATGACGAAGATGATGAAGAGGCAATACCTTGTGTGGATGTGGTTAGTAGTCTGGTGTCTGGGTGGTTGGGCCGCGCCAAGGCTCTTCTCTTTACTCTCTGGGTTTGAACCCAACAACAGGCCACCTCGTGGTTTTGTTCGGCGCCCGCCAACGCAATTTGTGGCCTTGACAAACACCGACGGCGGTCTCCTTGGCAGCCAACCCAACCACACGGCAGTGGCGCGGAGAAAAGAGACAGCGCGAGGAAGAAGAAGCAATGTATGACGCTCGTCAGCTGATGAATTGAACGCGAACGGGCGGTGTGAGAGTTGGTCAGATGGCGGCAGTCAGGTACCTCATGTTGCCACAGCGCAAGCTGAATCGACATGTCGCCCGCGGAGCCGTGCGAAGGTCGGAGTTCGCTGGCCTTGCTGGCGAGCGTGGTGAGCACTTCAACCTCCTTGGAGAGGCTGTCGTCACCCACCTGCTCCATCTCCCTCTCAAAGTGGTCCAGGAACGCCGCAAATCTAGCATTCCAGTCCAAGGCCTTGTCGCCGCTGGCCGTCGCGGCAGTCGCCGGCGGGAGGGTGTCGGCGGGCGCGGCATTGGCCGGAGCGGATCCGAAGGAGAACGAGGCGGGCGATGGTGCGAAGGCAGAAGTGACCGGAGCGGGCGGGCCGAACAGGAATGAAGGGGTGGAGGAGGCCTGGAATGCGAATGGCGCCGATGGGGCGGTGTACGTGGTCGGCGGCGTTGGCGTTTGGTTGCGCTTGTCGGCGATCCACTCCCGCACGAGCTGCACGTATCGGGCAAGGAGTACGCCCTTGCGCGTGCTTTTCACCGCAGCCCGACCGGCTGTCGAGTTGAGCGTGGCCCAGCGGCTAGACGTCTTCGTCGCGCCGCTCCGCTCGGAATAGCTGATGGTGAAGAGCATCATGTCGCCGGTGCTGTTGCCGCTTGGATGGTCGTCGATCATCTCGTCCGCGCCTTCGTTGATGGTGTCGTCCGATGGCTGCTTCCGTTTAAGTTCCTTGCCGCCGCCAAAGCTGAGCTTCCGCCGAAGCTTGAGGAGAATGAGCCCGCCCTTGGTCCCCTCCGCGGTACTGGTGGAAGGAAACAGCGAACTGACGTGCATCACCGTCCGCAAGTCCTTCCGCGGCGTGCTGTCGCCCGACCCAAACACCTCTACGACGTCGAACGCCATGGAGTCGAGTTGGAAGTGAAGATCGAACAGCAGTGGGTTAACCATGTTGTCGAAGCCCTGGATTACCATTCGATTACGTGAGTCGTGCACGAAGATGAGCAGAGGAGGAATGGACGGGGGTGGGGGTGAGCACCTCGTTCATTCTCGCCTTGAACTCGGGCACGCTGTGCACGGCAAAGTAGTTGGCGCCTCTCACCTTCACAATCTCTTCGATCAGCTCAGAATTGAAGTCTACACCAACACCGATGAACGTCGTAAAGAGCTGCATACAACGATGAATGGAGCTATAGTCAGCAAGCCGGAACAGAGCGGGGGCCAAGAGGTACTGTACTGTACCCCGATGCCTGCGCTCGTTTGGATCATGTGCCTCAGGCCTTGGCCGCTCAAGTCCGAGTGTGTGGGCTGAGCATCGGTCAAAAACACTATACGATTCTCGTGTGTGTCTGTACGCGCGTACGATACGGGTTAGCTATCGTCGTATGAGGCCAGCAGAGCACGAGTACGTACCAATGGGGCGAATATGTGGCATCACGAGCTCGATGGACTGTTGCATTCCCTGTTTCATGTCCGTGCCTCCACATGCGCTCACGCCTGTCATGAGCCTTTGCTTCAGCTGGCCTGGTGAGGGAAAATCGTGCCAACCAAAGGCACGATAAGGTTCGTGGTCAATGAATGTTGCTTGCACGGAGCGGCGGGGTGGTTACCGATGTCCTTCTGGAGAATCGGAGAGACTTGCTCGAACACTTGAGCTGCATGAGGCAGTCAACAAGGCATTGAGTGTGTAAGCGCAGAGTAATTGAGAGACCGCACATGGGAAAGGAGACGGTACATCGGTGGTCAAATAACACGATGCCCAGCTTGTCGTCCGGCTTGAGTTGATCAAGGAGCGTGAGGATTGCCTCCTTGGCGATCTCGATCTTGGGCTTGCCAGCGCAGTCTATATCGAAGGTACAGCCCATCGAGCCTGATATGCTGCACACACGTTTGCGTAAACAAGACGTGGTGCCTGCATTTGCGGAAGTGTGAGGGGTCACGTACTCGAGAGTGATGACCAAGTTGAGCGGTTTACGAGGAAATTGAGAAGCCTTGAGGTTCGACGTGAGCCCACGCTGAGGAAGAGCTCGTCCTCCATCGTGATCGGGTGTCGACTCTGGAAATCGGTGTACGTTGGCGCGAAGAGCTCGGCTTCTGCCTTGTCACCTGCCGCGTTGGCAGACAGCGCAGACGAAGTTGCAGGATCGCCGTCGCTGGCGTCAGTCTTGAACGAGTACTCCGCAAAGAGGCCCTCACAGGTGAGGTCTGAAGCAGAGGGAACAACCCCGAGCTCTATCTTCTTCCGGAAGTTCACGCAGTCCTTCGATCCACCAACAGAGAACCTGCGATGGCCGCGGTGTGTCAAACCTACAGCCCCACGAGCGCGTGCTGTTAGCAGTAGTGGGACGGTGCCGTACCCCAAGGAGATTTCAGGTGGGCAGAGTGCTGGCGCTTCTACGAATGCTAGACTTCGATCACTGCAAGATCACCACGTAGCCGGCGGGCGGCGATGTTGGTTAGTGCGGGCACTCAAACGTGTCGCGGGTGAGCGAGCGGTGGTGGTACCCGGTAAGCCTTCGAGCGAAAAAGAGGAAAGGCTTCTCGAAATTGTAGTTCGACCTCGCAGACACGGGCCAGTAGGGCACACCCGGTACTTTGACCGGGGTACGACTGCGCACACGCAAGTCGGCCTTGAAGCCGCACACGGCCACGAGCAGAGACTCGCCTGCGCTATCTCGCACAAGCTTGTACCACGACCTGGCGCCCTTGGTCGTCTCCTGCTCACAATCAGTGCATACAAGCCCCGCCTATTGTAAACATCACGCCACAGCGGCCACAACGCAGTGGCAGCGCGCACCTTTTGGCTGGCGTCAAACGCGATGATGACCCCGCTGGCGTCCACCCTGATGATGGGAATAAGCACGATGAGCTCAATCATCAACCCTACTGCACGTTGTTTCCGGTAGAGTAGATGAAAGCACGCACAGCGACTCCCTCACAGCCTCGGGGCTTGGCGGGCAATCCCACACCTCGAAGCACAGCGCGCCTATGGTGGTGTAGAACTGCAAGTCTCGCGGCTGGCTGGTCATGGTGGCTGTAGGCAAGGGCGAGTCACTCACTCCGCACCCTGGCGAGCAGGAAGAAAGCATGTTGGGGGGGGGGTACGGATATGCTTGCGCTCGAACTCGCCACACAAGTGCCGCATGAGGAAGGTGGACTTGCCCACGGCGGCATCACCCACCAGCACCAGCTTGAAACGTGGGGCTTGCGATCCTGCCTGCATTATGTTCCTGGTCGAAGCGCAGTTCAGCAGGGGCTCACCCCCTCCCACTCGCGAATCTTCGAGAAGCTTGTCTGCGTTGTGGCGCCATTATTCAGTGATTTTTTACCATTTTATTTTTCTCTTCACATTTAATAGATATTTATATATTTATTTTATTGTAGAGCAAAGCATGGAGAGCACGCCTGACCAGGACAAGGGCGCCACAACGCAGGGCTCGCCGAGGCATGTGTTTATCAGTGCCTCTTTTCTGCACAGGGAGTTCAGGGCGGTGCCGCTTGAGGTCATGCAAAGCGCCATCTTCTTCTTTGGCAGCAAGCGTAGCTGGGGTATGTATATAGCGCCGTCGACCCACCCCCTTAGCCATACAACAGGCTCACCTACATCTTCACCCTTGATGAAGTGTTCCCTGAAAACGAGAGGGAGCGGAAGGAGTCGTTGCGGCAGCCAACGCGCTACTACGCGTTCCCCGAAGACTTCAAGCAGCTCATCTTGGAGAAGGAGAAGGCGGGCCTGCTGTACTGGTTGAAGCCAGACCAGGACTACCGCAAGGTGTCCGCCTTCCTCGAGCAGATCGTGGACCCGGTCACAGGCCAACCCTACGCGCCGCTCATACTCGACGACCAGTGGTGGAAGCACACCTACGACCGCTCCATGGCGCGATCGTGCCCCCCGCCCGACTCCTTCCGGGTCATCCACAACTACAAGCTGGGCGACCACGACTATGCTCCGACGATGGAGCTGTTGGTTCAAAGCAACCACAACCTCGTTCCTGTGCTCTCGTGGTCCGACCACGTCAAGAAATAAGGCGTTTTGTGTCCACCATTGTCACATACGGCCTTGGTGCAGGTGACGGCCACCTCCGGGTGCGTTAGACGGGTGCGTTAGGTCGGCGATGTCGATCCCGCCCCTGATCCCGGTGGAGCTGATTTGCGTGATGGAGTCGCTGCGCAAGAGGTGGAACGCCGGATTGCTGGCTGAAGTGGTCCGTCATCAACGCCTGCAGCTCGAGTGTGACCACGTCTCTGCGGCTCCTGGCCAGAACTTGAACTTGATCGCGTGATAGGCGCCGGAGACATGGATTGGCCGCAGCTGCGGGCACTGCCGGTGAATGAAGGCGGTGAATCAGCTTATGCGCCGGTCACCCATCGTGCGTAGCCTCCCAGTCGCACACGTCTAGCCCTTCGGAGTCCATACGATGCGCGGCGTCGAAGGCGCGGCGGCCCAGCTTGCATATCTGTCCGAGTCCCCCCAGCACCACGCAGTTGCAGCGCTCTTCGCGTGGCCTCCTCCACCATGAGCGTGCATGCGGTACACGGGCGAGTACGCCCTGCACACCAACACCGCGAGGTCTTTGAAACGGTGGCCACCGTTTTTGTTCAAACTGTGGATTCGATTTGGCATCGACATACGGCTGCCAGGTTGGAAGCTGCTCAAGCCGACTTCGGCGGTCCACTCGTAAAGCGGCGCAAGCCCGGCGCGAAGGCTTGAGGCAGGGCTTCCGGCTCCCGCAACGCAGCCCACACCGTTTTCGAAGTGCTGAAGCACAGCTCCGCCACACCACACTGTGACCGAAGCATTGGTGAGCGCATGCGGTGCGTGGCGGTGTGTGTGGCCCGTACCTCCCTGAGGGATTACAATGGGGTCGCTCGATGCAAGGCATTCCCCGCTGAGCACAGAGATGGTATGCGAAGGGGCTACGGTGATTGTATCATTAACATGCCCACTGATTGTTATCTGCGCCAAACAAGTTATTAAGGTAACGCAACGACCCAATGTGGCATGTAGTGTCTGCTTGGGGGGGGGGATGGGTGAACATACGGTCACACGGTCTACAGAACCAGGGCTAACTTCAAATGTGCTGGCGAACTTCACCGATCCGCTCTCCACATCTCCAACTGTTATGGTTTCGCTCTCTCCTCCTGTTGTAAGTGTGGAAGGTGGCGAGGTTGAAGTGCAGCCAAAGGAAGAAAAAGATGATGATTCATCAACTCTAACAGATATGTAGAACCTTTGGCTGCTGTTACGGAGTTTATGATTAACCCCTGAGAGAGTCGATAGATTAATCGTGGGGACTGGCTCTGGTTCGGTACAGATATCGCTTGCTTCCTTATCGGGGTCGACTCGATTGGTGACCCTGAGCGCGATGGTGAAGTCGTGTCCCACAGTCACGTGACTGACCGGCTCTGTCAGCACCACCTCATCAACGCCACCATCGAACCGCCGCTAGACAACCCAAGAAAGCGAAGACGAACGGAGGTGAGGGTAGCGCAGAGTGTGCAGTACCAAGAGGAGAACCTGCTTGCACTCGGGCATGCCGACAGGCAGCTCTTACTGACCACCTCCCAGCCATCAGCACGCCCGTTCGCGTTATTAGCTCAGCTGGAAAGTGGTAAGTCGGCAAATATTGGTTGCCCTGGCGAACCCAACAACGACTCCCTGCGGTAGTCACCCCGCCCCCGTACCCAAGTTGTACACTCACATTCCAGAACCAAGAAGAACTACCCTGTCCTAACGTGCGTCCTCACCCATGTCTCCTTATTTCCCTTCAAAGACAGCCTGTCTTGATCATTCATCTTCGGCATTGAGTTCAATTTTTTGACTTCTCACGATTTTTATTATTTCCCCCTACAAAATCCTCGACCACGCAATGCAGAGAAGGAAACAATGTTGCGCGGACAGGCTGCGTTGCTGGCATGGGCTCAGCGGTGTACTGAGGGCTACAAGGGCGTGAACATCACCAACTTCACCAGCTCGTGGAGGGATGGCCTGGCCTTTGCGGCGCTGGTCCACAACCACCACCCGGAATCGTTTGACTACGAGCCCCTCGTCAACGGCGCCGACGCGCTCAAGAGGCTCGAGGTGGCCTTCGAAGCCGCGGGCAAGGCCGGCGTCCCCAACCTGCTCGACCCCGAGGATGTGCTCGTGGGGCCGCAACCCGACCACTTTTCCATCATGACCTACCTCTCCACGTACTACTTGCCCCCTCCCCTCCAATTCATCTTTCATCATCTTCGTATGATCAGGTCACCAGCTTGAGTTGACAAGTAACCCCTCTACACAGGATGTACAAGCACTTCCGCGCGGGGCCGACAGCACCGCGCCCGGCCGCGGCCGTGAGCAAGCCGTACGACGCCGGAGAGAAGCGCGGCAGCGTCCGTTCGTACGGCGAGGGCGATCAGAGCGAGGAGGAGTTCAGGAAGCAGCGCGAACGCGAGATCGAGGAGAAGAAGAGGAAGCTGCTCGAGATGGAGCGCGAGAAGGAGCGCGAACGCGAGCGTCAGCGCCAGCGCGAGAAGGAGAAGAAAGAGATGGAGCGCGAGCGCGAGCGACTCGAGCGGGAGCGCAAGGATCGCGACATCCGCGAGCGCGAGCGCATCGAGAAGGAGAAGCAGGCCAACACCAAGGCCAGGGCCACCGCCGCCAGCGCCAGCCCCGTCAAGGCCGCCGCCGCGCCTGTGTCGTCGGCCGAGGCCAAGAAGAGGGAGGAGAGGCGCAGGAGGAAGGAGGAGCTCGAGCGCCAGATCGCGGAGACCAAGCGCACCATCGAAAAGCTGGCGCGCATCAAGGAGGAGAGGCGCGCGCAGGTCGAGGAGGAGGACGAGATCGAGAAGGAGGAGGCCCAGCGGCGCTCGGTGGAGCGCAAGCGTCTGAGGGAGGAGATTGAGAAGCGGTGGAACGAGGAGGACCAGGAGTTTGCGCGCGAGCGGAAGAGGCGCGAGGACATCCGCAAGAAGCGGGACCACAAGCGCAAGCTCGAGGAGGAGCGATTCCTCGAGTGGGACGACAAGATGAAGCAGGCCGAGGAGGAGAAGGAGCGCAAGCTCAAGGCCGAGCAGGAGCAGGGCAACAACCTCAGCGGCGAGCGCGACACCGGCAGCCGCACGCGTCGCACCAGCCGCAACATCCGCGAGGCCCTCCGTGAGCGTCGCGGCACCACCGCCGAGCCCCCCGCCTCTGGCAGCACCAGCGCGCGCGGCCGCGGCGGCAGCACCAACGAGACCACCGACACCGCCGCCGCCGAGGAGAAGCGCAAGGAGGACGAGCGCATCGCGCGCGAGAAGGAGGAGGCCCAGGAGAAGGAGAGGGAGCGCGAACGGAGCGAGAAGGAGGCCAAGGAGCGGGCCAGCTCTCGCGGCAGCAGCGGCCGTGGCGGCGGCAGCGGCGGCGACAGCTCGGCCGACGACCTCGAGGCGGCCCGGGCCAAGCGACGAGCGGAGAGGGAGAAGCAGCTCGAGGAGGAGCGACAGAAGCTCAAGGCCGCCGCGGAGGGCTCGAGCGCCGGCGGCGCTGGCGACAGCGTCGAGGAGAGGCGCAGGGCCAGGGAGGAGAAGAGGAAGCAGATGGAGGAGGAGTGGGCCAGGGAGGAGGCCGAGCGCCAGCGCGTGAGGGAGGAGAGGAGGCGCCAGAGGGAAGAGAGGGCCTAAGCCTGCCCACACCCGCGCGCGTGTGCACCACTTTGCCATCATCTACTCTTTTTGTTGTACAACATCTACAACCACACTTTTTATTTGCAAATCTTTGGAGCTCCATTCCACTCAGTTCTCTTGGCGTCGACTGAAATTTGAGTTCGGGGTGGCGGTAGTAACGGAGGCTCGACACAAGAGGAGACAACGAGCTGCGCGACGACGCCACAGGAACTGGATTTTTGATAAATCCACTTTTTCCCTTCCCCTTTTACAAGAAAAGAACCCACCTCGCCTTGCGGCAGGCCCTTGGACACGCTCGGGCTCGAGTTGCACCCTTCTCTTTCCCTCATCTGCGTTGGTAACACCCCCCCCCCGTCGCTTTCGCTTTAAATCTTCTTCGTTCTTCCCATCTGTCTACCTTCTGCTTCGTTATGTTGGCCTTTTGCCCCCCCCCACCTTCGTTTTCGCTTTCTGCGCCCAAGTGCGCTCCTACTCCTTCGCGAAGCACAACCTTGTCCGTTGGGCGGGACCTCCGCAAGCCGAGGCTTTGCGAACTCACACTCTTATTTTATGCCCCACCACACAGAGGACGCACAAAACGAGCAAGCGCAACAGAGTAGAGAACTGAACAGAACTGAACAGAACACAGCCGAGGCAGTAAACGTCAGTACCGAGTAGAACACAAAGCTTGATCAACAAAAGATGGAGAAGCGTATTCTGCTGTTGTGCAAGGACAGGAACGCGAAGATCATGACCATCCTCGGCGATCAGGACCCGAGCGAGGTGATGGAGTTCCAGACCACCATACAAATGGTCCAGGTCGTTGTCAACCGCCTCCTCGTCTCTGGCGGGAAGAAGCAGGTACCCACTCGCCCTTCTTTGTGCGTGTGCGTGTGCGTGTGCGTGTGCGTGTGCGTGTGCGTGTGCGTGTGCGTGTGCGTGTGCGTGTGCGTGTGCAGTGACTCACCGTCGACGAATGTCTTTCCGAACAGATTTTGATCGACGTCCCATTGCTGGACAAGATCTACACCATCCTGGGGCAGTACGAGGAGCTGCTGGAACAGTACATCGCCTCCGGCCGCCTGCGCAGATTGCTCAACAGCAACCGCATGCGACGAAAGCTCGAGAAAATCAATTCGGACCTGCACGTACGTCGTCATCGTTGTCGTCGCCCTCGGGCTCTCCCCCGCATCGATATGTCGTCCATCGTGGTGGTGGTGTCCAGTGCCAAATGAGCGTCGTGGCTGACAACGCCGCGTTTGCGTCGTGCAGGTCCACCTGAAGGAGTTTGTGGAAACGCTCAAAGAAATGAACGCCAAGCAGAGCATCCCCTCCTCGGGATCCAGGTCAAGAGAGGACGCCTCCGTCACCGAACTCGAAGACAGAGTCACATCAAGTAATTCACCCACTTCTTGATCTCGTCGTCTTTCTCCCAACTAACCACACACACACACACGCACACACGCACACACAACGCACGCGCACGCACACAGGCGGGTCGATCAGTGCGCGGAAAAAGGAGAAGAGCGACAAGCGAGAGATCAAGAAATCAAAGGAGAAGGCGGACGGTGCCAAGGGCCAAGGGAAGAAGGACGATGGAAATGACAAGAAGAAGAACAAGAAGAACAAGGAGGACCGGGACAAGAAGAAGGAGAAGAAGGTCAAGAAGGACAAGTCGCCGAAGAAGTCCGGGACTGGCGTCACCAGTACTGGTGGCGCAGCTGCCGGTGATGACAAAGAGAAGCGGGAGGCCTCCGAAAAGCGAACTGGTGCGCAAGTGTGTTTGTGTGTGTGTGTTGCATGCGTTAACCTGCAATGAGTGTTGTCGGTGGGGAGCAGGAGATGTCATCTCGTCTGAGATGTCGGCGTCGCGCAAGAAGTACACGTCGATCGTGGATGTGGCCGGTAAGGAACTGGCCGAGGAGCACCAGCACCTGAGGCATCTCTCCAACGAGATGATTTCCGACCCCGAGGGCAAGGACTTCTGGCTCAAGCTTTTCGGCGCCGAGGTGCCCTCCCCCTCCCTCTTTCTCTCTCTCTCTCTCGTGCAGGCACTTAGCGGGCCTCTCTGCGCATGTGCGTGTTGTGTGTGTGCGTGCGTGTTGTGTGTTGTGTGTTGTGTGTGTAGGCGTTTTACGTCAAATGGGACGAATTCATCGAAGAGCTGTCGAAGGCGCTCGGTGTGAGCATTTCCAAGGACGATCAGGCGCTCATGAAGCACGTTCTCGGTACGCGTTCTTTACTTTGCATCACCTCCGCGTCCGTCCATACAACCGCTGCTGCGGCATGCATGGCGTGGGCGCCGGCTGATTGCACCAATTGCTGGTGTTTGGTGTACAGACAATTCGGGGACCGGCCACATCAACATGTACAAGTGGTCGGAGTTCCTTAAGGGCTTCGGCCCGCTCACCAACGTCGTCAACAACGTACACACCACCACCAACGCCAACGCCAGCGCTTGCACAACACCGACACTCGCTGACGCGGCCCTCTTGCGGGACTCACACTGCCGCGTGCAGGTGCGGAACATTCTCACGGCGCCGTGGTTCCACGGGTTCCTCACATCGCGCGAGGCCGAGCTGCTGCTGGAGGACCAGCCCATTGGCACCTTCCTCATCCGATTCAGCCGCTCGTCCGGCGGCTCCTTTGCGCTGGCCTTCGTCCAGGAGCACCGCAAGATTCTTCACATTCTCAGTACGCATACCACCGCACGCCCGCCGCCACGGTTCGAATCCAATGCTCATCATTGATCTGGGCTGGGCTCTCTTTTCTTGTCAACCGCGCAGTCCAGAGCTGTATGCCCGAAGGATTCAAGATCGACGAAGAGGAGGGCGACAAGAGCAAATACTTCGAGTCCCTGCAGGACATCGTCGATCACTACAGCATCTTCCTCCAGCACTCCTTTACCTCCGAACTTCCGAGAGAAAGGTTCGTTGCTGATCCGTGTGCGTGTGCGTGTTCGTGTGCATGTGTGCGTGTCGTGCTCTCTTTTTGTGCTCATTCTTGTGATCACAGTTGGTTCCACGGTGACGTGTCCCCTCCGGAGGCCATCGAGTTGCTGCAGGGCCACCCCGAAGGCACCTTCCTCATTCGGTTCAGGTACGCTCTTCCCCCCCCCTCCCCTTCAACCATTGCGCGTTCGTGTTGTGGCTCGCTGACGAGTACGTGCATGTGCGATCGAAATACGTTACAGTTCGCAGCCGGGCTGCTTTGCCGCGTCGTTCATGGCGTCGCACAGCGAAGTAAGGCACGCCCTCATCCAGGGCCTGCCGCAGGGCGGATTCCTGTTCGCGGGCGAGAAGGAGACCTTCCCCAACCTCACCACCCTCATCGAAGCCTACTCGCCCACCTTGCGGTACGACACATGCACGCGCACGCGCGCGCGCACACAAACCGCACACGCTAAATGAAATGATGCTCTACGCACGCCTCAGGTTCGCGCTACCCAACAACGAGACGGACGTGGCGCCGATCCTGAAGAAGTACCTCGAGTCCAAGAAGGCCATGAAGGAGGCCGAGGACCGGGGACCCATTCCCAACCACTACTCCGCCGTCGACACCGAGACCTTCAAGAAGGTCCTCGGCGGGCGCAAGTGAGCCACTGGGCCTGCCCGCCAGTCGAACTTCATTTTCATCTCACACAAAAAACAAAACACTTGACACAACGCCACACATACACACGAGAGGCCGGCGCTATCATCTGCTGATGAGGTCAAGCAGCCGGCTCCTGGTCGTGTTGGTGTTGTTTCTGGTTTGCTTCGGGGGTTCGCTTCTTGAGGCCTCCTCGCTCGACAGGGGCGAAGCTTGTGTGGACTCACCCACTTGCTTCCGGCCGGCCGACGACGTCGAACCGGGGCAGACCACGGCAGCCAGAAGTCGGAAACCGCCACACGCCGCAACCACCACTCCGCGAGTCGAACCGCCATCGATGGAAGACATTGTTTTGGATGCACGCACCACTCACACCGGTACGGCTGTGCCTCGCTCTCGCTTTGATCAAACGGCGCTTGCATTGATTTTTCTACTGATCCAGGTACGGTGATTTTCATCCATGGACTCGGCGACACTGGCGCTGGTTGGGAGAGCGAGATGATGCGGTTCAACCGTGCCAACCCCCACCTCAAATTCATTCTCCCCACCGCGTACGTTTACATCCCCTCCATTTAATCAATTGATAATAAATTCATTATTATTCATTAATAATTTAAAATTTATATTTTTACAGCCCCAAGAGACCTGTGACGATCAGTTACGGGCAGCGCATGCCGGCGTGGTACGACATAAAGACGCTCTCGTCGCGCGACCACGAGGACTTTGACGGTCTCCCCGAGTCGAGCCAGCGAAGTACGGCCACTCACTCCTCTGCTCTTGCTCTTGCCCCGTTCCTTCTGCTCGCGCCCACGCTCGTGGTTCACTGCGTGTGCTTGTGGTCAGTCGAGAAGCTGATCAAAACGGAGATCGAGAACGGCATACCCGCCTCGCGCATCGTTGTCGGCGGCTTCAGCCAGGGTGCTGCGCTTTCGCTCTACACTGGGTACGGCGCGTACACATCACACGTGAAGCCTTTTCTTCGTGCGCGTTGTGCCCTCAGCTGTCCCCTGAGTCTCGTGTGTGTGTGTGTGTGTGTGTGTGTGTGTGTGTGTGTGTGGCGTGTCGTGTCGTGTCGTGTCGTGTCGTGTCGTGTAATGTGTCGTGCTCAGGTTCCGGCTGTCTGAGCGACTGGGAGGCATCATCGCCATGAGCGGCTACTTGCCCATTCGAGAACAGAAGAGCCAGGATTATATCAACAGTACTGCAATCGTCCACTTTATCGTCTTGTTCACCTCGAACCCTGCTGCCCTCAAACACCCCCTGTACGCGCGCAGCCATCACCGACCTGTCGAAGGAGACTCCGCTGCTGATGTGCCACGGCACCGCCGACAACGTTGTGCGCTACGAGTGGGGCCAAAAGTCGTTCGCGCTGCTCAAGTCTGGTGCGTTGCTCGTTCGTCTCACTCGAATCGGTCAACGATCACTCACCTGATTGTGCGACACCAAAACACACTCACCCACCACCCCCACACGCCACGACACCCACCGCACACACTCGTGCACAGGTGGAGTTCAAAAGGCGACGCTGCGGTCATACCCCAACATGCAGCACTCGGCGTGCGTCGAGGAGCTGGCCCACATCCAGGAGTTCCTCGCCGAGGTGCTCCCGCCGCTGCCCGCCGACGACGACCGCAAGGAGTGACGGCCCTGTCAGGTTGTGTGCTTGTTTTCTGTTGGTCAGATATATTTATTTTTTATTTTCAAATTGGTGAGCTGCAATTCGTGGGAATTGCCCCCGCAACGTACTTGGCAGGTGCTCTCTGCTCGAGAGCAACATAACTAAAGAACCCACCCCTCACCCAACAACGGAAGAAGAAGAAGCTAGATGGCACTGCGAGAAGGTTGGCTGCATAAGGAGGGCGGGTCATTTAAGACATGGAAGAAGCGGTGGTTCGTCATCGAAGGCGACGAGTTCGCCTACTACAACAAAAAAGGAGGCAAGTCACCCCCCCCCCTTTCCCTCCCTCCGCATCCTTCCTTGCGCCTTCCAGATTTTTAAGAATGAAAGAAAAAGATGACCTGCCGGCGGTGGGTCTGCAATCTCAGTTCATCATCTCACTGAGCTCACGTGAGCAGGCGATAAGAAGGGAGCTATTCCGCTGAAGGATGTGGGTTCGGTGCGGGCGGAGGACTACAAGGACAAGAAGCACTGCTTCAAGGTGATGACCTCGAGCCGCTCGTACTACATCATAGCGACGAGCCACGAGGAGATGAAGGGCTGGATCGACAGCCTCACACACGAGCGGAAGAAGTTTGGCGAGACCTCGCACGAGCGCATGAAGAGGAGCGGATACAACCCTCCGGCCCTCGCCGCCAAACAGGTTCGCCCCCCCCCGGCTTCGCTTTCGTTCTTCTTCGCCCCAAAGAACGAAAACGAAGAGCGAGGAAGAGCGAAAAGCGACGGACAGCTGACGAGAAGCGGCGTATGGGGGGAAACGAGAGATAAAGAGAGAAGACCGAAACCCCAGCCGGCCGGAGTGAGGTGGACGGTGGGAGGGAATTGAGCGGAATCGAGGATACAAAGGAAAAACCGTGCGTGTGGCCCTCGTCTCACTTACTTGGGCGATGGCAGGTCACAGTGGAGGACTTCGAAACGCTAAACGTGATCGGAAGCGGCGGCTTTGGTATCTTTCTCTCTCCCTCTCTCTCTCTTCCGCACGCACGATTGATGGTCTGCTTGGCGCATTGTTCACTCGCACATGACGCACCAATATGTGCAGGTAAGGTGTACCAGGTCCGCTACAAGCCCACGGACCAGATCATGGCGATGAAGGTGCTCAACAAGAAGTCCATCGTGGAGGCCGATGAAGTGGTCAAGCTTCGGACGGAGAGGAGCATCCTCACCAAGCTCGACAGTCCCTTCCTCGTCAAGCTCCACTTCTCCTTCCAGAACCCGAGTACGACCCACTGCGCCACACGTCACACTTCACGCACCGTGGAGTTGCTTGGTCTGACCCGTTTGCGTTGCCTTGCACACGTCAGACAAAATATTCTTTGCGATGGACTACATCAACGGCGGCGAGCTGTTCTTCCATCTGCAGCAGCAGGAGCGAGGATTCACGCCCGAGCGGGTCAAGTTCTACGCTGCCGAGATTCTTCTCGGTACCGCTAGCCCGCAGTTGCCCTCAGTTATTCTCATTTTCTGTTATCATAGTTGTGTTCACCCCTTGCACGCACACGCACACGCACACGCACACGCACACGCACACGCACACGCACACGCACACGCACACGCACACGCACACGCACACGCACACGCACACGGTCCAGGTGTCGAGTATCTGCACACGAAAGGAATCATCTATCGCGACCTCAAGCCCGAAAATGTGCTGATCTCTGCGGACGGCCACGTGCGGATGACCGACTTTGGCATCAGCAAGGAGGGCCTCAACGCCAAGGACGACCGCACCGCCACCTTCTGCGGCACGCCCGAGTACCTGGCACCGGAGGTCCTCGAGGGCAAGGAGTACGGCAAGGAGGTCGACTGGTGGTCCTACGGCACCCTCGTCTACGAGATGCTGGTCGGCGTTCCGCCCTTCTACTCCGAAGACGTGCAAGTCATGTGCGTAGCTCCCTCACCCCCCCCCCTTTCGGCCTGTGGTGATCGCCGCTTTTGCTAAACCGAAGCGCTTCGCCCGCCGGCGCGCGCAGGTACCGCAAGATTCTGAATGACCCGGTTGACGTGAAGGCCATCAAGGAGAGGGTACTGCCCTACCCCACCATTGCACCAGAACAGAAATATTGATCACAATATCGTGTGTGTGGTGTATGTGTGGGGTGTGTGTGTGTTTCATAGGACCCGGACCCTGCGGCGGCGGACCTTATCCAGGGCCTCCTGGAGAGGAATGTCCAGAAGCGTTTGGTCGACCCCGAGGTGCTGAAGAAGCACCCCTACTTCGCCAGCATCGATTGGGAGAAGCTCAACAGACTCGAGATCACCCCTCCCTTCGTGCCAGCGGTCAAGGGTGCGACGTCCCCTCGAGTGGCCACTTTGCAGAGTTAACCTGGTGGCCGCTGACTGAGGTGGTCACCTGATTTCTGAGCACAGGCGACGACGACACGAGCCAGATCGATCCGACCTTCACCAGGCAAAAGCCAGCGCTGTCGATCGCCGGCGAGGATGTGCTCAGCAAGACGGCCCAGCAGCAGTTCATGAACTTTACGTGGGTCGCCGACTCAGAGCTATCTCTCGACAAAGACTAAAAGTGGGAGGCGGCAAGATGGAGAGTTACCACTTGCGGCCTAGCCCTTGATGGGAGGCAACCCAACACTACTAATAATGAGCACCACCAACACAAAGCCTTCGTCCCCTTCACCACACAAGAGGCCGCAACTCCTTGCTACTCTGAGTTTCCTTCCACAAAAAGGAAAACTGCTAGGGTGCTGCCCGGAATCGAACCGGGGCCTCCTGCACCCGAAGCAGGAATTTTACCACTTAACTACAGCGCCTAGCCTTATCAATAGCTGACTCTTGGTGTGGTTGCATGGGAATGCATGGGGGGGTGCAAGCACAATGCAGAAGCATGGCGTGCTGGTGTGGTCTCGGAGTAAAAGATGTGGTCCATAAAACGAAAAGAAAAGATGGGGCGCCGCCCGGAATCGAACCGGGGCCTCTCGCACCCTAAGCGAGAATTTTACCACTTAACTACGGCGCCTATTGGCTGAACAATTGAGAAATGGCGCCGACATGCTGCATATTTTACTCCTTTACCACACCAGCACACCATGCTTCTGCATTGTGCTTGCAGTGAAGAATGGAGCTTTCATTATCAGCATGGTGATGGGAATGCATGAAAAAACTTGCATTTTTGTTCTCCTAAATTGTCCCACTGAAGCAAGCAGAGCATTTTTTAGTGCAGTTGAGGTTGTTTTGAGGTCACAGTACAAAAACATGCAGATCTTGAGAGTGACTGAGAAACTCCTGGATGTGATGGTCTGTCATCTTTGGGGAGAACATATTGATTGCCTCTTTTGGTTGTGGACCACTGTGACACCCAGGTGTGGGTGTCCTTGTCTGGCTTCCTGGTGAAGGGGGTGATCCTAATAGCCAGTGGTCCTGTTGGCTTGAGGCAAGGAAGGTGTGACCTGTTTTGGAGTGCTTGGTACAGGCCCTGCATGATCACACCAACCAACAAAGTGAATTACAGGTGCAGAAACTGATTGAACAATAAGGTGGTATGAATAGAGTCATGTTTGTTGTTGTAGAGGAGAGAACTGAGCTCCACTTTTCCAGTGCAACTGTCATTGGACAGCGAAAAGGAACTGTGTGGTTGGCCCTCCCAAACGTGTTCTGAAACGTTGCGCCTAAGTGGGCGGTGCAGCTTCGGAAATATTTTTACTATTATTCTGGTATCTGTTGGTGTCGTACTTCACCGAAGTAAATATTCGCTTTTTCTTTGTTTGCGAAACTTCCAAAATTGGATTAGACGCCCGATAAATCAGGTTAAAGCAACCGTAAAAGAACGCTCAATCTCGCGAGCTGTTCTGTTGAACGCGTTTTGGCGATGACGCTGGAGGCAGCAGGGCACTATATCTTCCCGGCCGAGTTCGAGCCGCAAGAGTGTGTGTGGCTCAGTTGGCTGCACACCCGGAAGGAGTTCCTCCAGGGGAGGCCCATGCAGCCGGTCCTTTTGGACATGATGGAAGCGCTGCTGCCCTTTGTCAAGGTAGCGGTCATCGTGAACGACGACGCGGAGAAACAACAGATACAGACCGCCCTGCAGGAGAGGCATCCATCGTCCGCCGCCAGTGTGGCCAAGCTCCAGTTTCATCTCGTCAAACACCTGGAAATCTGGATGCGCGACTTCGGACCGATCTTTCTCAAGTCCTCCACCGACCCGAGTCTGCCGCTCAAGGTGGCCGTCTTCCGGTGGAACATATGGGGCTGGCTCGACAACCTTCTGCCCACCGTCGTGCCGCCGGAGGAGATTGCCGAGCTGATCGCCGAGGGCGAGGTGTCGCGTCGCGTGGCGCACGCCCTCTCGCTGGCCACCGTCGACGCCGACTTCGTATGTCGGTATGTCGGAGGGCGGCAATCGGGAGTTCAACGGAAGGGGCACCCTGATGGTCACCGAGGCCGTGGAGCTCCAGCGCAACCCCGACCTCACCAAGGAGCACCTCACCGAACATTTCAAGAGCCTGTTCGACGTGCGCAAGGTGATTTGGCTCAAGCAGGGCGTCGCCGAGGATGACCACATCTTCCGCGGGCCTCTCCCCGGCGGCGTGTTCAACATGCCCTGCACCGGTGGACATGTTGATGAGGTGAGCGACACACGCGACACACGCAACACACACGACACACACGACACACACGACACACATCATGCAATCTCACCTCGTTTTTTTTTCCGCAGTACGCTCGGTTCGTCAACCCGACTACCGTCCTTCTTGCTGAGGTACTGTGCTGGCTCCCACTGATCAGTGTCACTGGGCGAACATGGGGGCTAACAGCGCACACGTGTGTCGCCCACCAACCCGGCCAATGTGAGGTGCGTGCGGAGGACCGTGACCACCCGATTGGCCGGCTCAGCCACCAGCGCATGGAGGAGAACTACCGGATCCTGGCCGGCGAGACCGACCAGGACGGCCACCCGTTCACCATCGTGCGCATTCCGCTGCCGCCCGTTGACGTCATCAAGGTCAAGCCCGCCGACCCCCTCTTCGGCGACTACAGCGCGGTGGCCTTCAGCTCCGGCAAGACCTTTGAGCAGCTCCTCGAAGAACTTCACCCCGACTACGTCGCCGGCGGCGGCAGCCAAGACGATCTGAGGGCGATCGAGGCCGTGGTGCCGGGGAGCTACTGCAACTTCGTCATCTCGAACGGCGTGGTGCTGATGCCGCGCTACCACGCGGAGGGACGGGACGAGGCGGTCAAGCGGACAGACGACGCAGCGAGGGACATCCTGCAGTCGGTCTTCCCCGACCGCAAGATCGTCCAGATCGACTGCGAGAACATCAACTTTGGCGGAGGCGGCATGCACTGCGTGACCCAACAGCAACCAGCCATCACAGACCAATAGCGAGCGTGTGCTTGAGCTGTCACACCACAAAATGCAACGTTGTTGAAGCTGAGCCACCCTAATCACGAGCTCGAGGTGCATCTCTGAACGTCCACAAAAAGAATGACTGCCCAATAAGAATGGCTGACCGTAGGGCTCGAACCCACGACCTCGAGTGTTATAGTCTCGCGCTCTACCAACTGAGCTAGGCCAGCAACACAGCAGCCAATACTCTTAATTGAAAACCAAAACAATTACAAACCCACTGTAAAGTTGAAGCCCATCAACATTTTACACAAGAACACAGAAAAACATGATTTACAGAATCTGTTCAAAAAACACAACTTCCCAGTAGTGTTGGGGATAACAAAATATTGGAGGAGAAGGGTATCGATCCCTTTACCTCTCGCATGCTAAGCGAGCGCTCTACCATCTGAGCTACACCCCCGTGCTGATTTATTTTTGGTCATGTGGCCAAACATCGCAACATTTTACTAATTTATCACTCATTTCAACCCTTTTGAGTTTTTCATGGACTAAAGTCTAAGTTATTCTTTGCTTCACATTCGTCCCATCAACCGTTTTTGGAAGCTGCCATGACTGCTGCTCTACCATCTGAGCTACACCCCCTGATTTTTGCTCAATTACATGGGAACACTTGCCATGCGTGGCCCAGTTCAAGATGTGGTCCTTTTCAAAAAAAAAGTAAATAAAAGAAAAGATGGGGCGCCGCCCGGAATCGAACCGGGGCCTCTCGCACCCTAAGCGAGAATTTTACCACTTAACTACGGCGCCGTTATTGCTGCCTTTTGGATTTCCACTTTTGATTGGATGATGCTTGTACACGCATACTCCTCGTGTGAACAAACGGATTATTGATTGCTCCTCCCTCCTCGACCTCGTATTCCTTGTGTACAACGCCCGCCCTGGCGTTCTGGTTGTGGAGATTTATTGTGCGGCTGCTCGTACGTTGGCAGCGTGCCTGAGGGGGTAGTAATAAATACAAAAAAGACGAGCGCGGGCAGCAAACGTACGCGTGGGTGGGTGCTGGCGTCATCACGCAAGTGAAGGTGGTGCTGGTGACGTAGCGGGTGTGCAGACGGCGAAGCGAAGGCCACACTGGATGGTGGGTTACTCCTGGGCGAACTCCCACGGGTCCTTCTCGGCGGCGATGCTCTTGATCACGTACTCGGTGAAGTCCGAGAGGGTGACCTTGCCATCGCCGTTGGTGTCCCATTGCTTGATCTTCTCCTGCGCAATCGTGTCGATCTCCTCGTCGCCAGCATTCTTGAGCATGTCGTATAGCACGTCCTTCACGTTCTCCACATCAATCGATCCAGCTGCAAGACGACATGCATGCACCAAAGCAAGCTTCAGTCACAATGTCGGTAGCACAAACACAAACACCAAACGCCGCTTCACTGAAACGCCAACCGCGAGCTGGTGGTGCTGGCCAAAGGAGTGAGACGTACAGCCCTCCTTGTCGTAGAGGTACCAGGCGTAGACCACTCGCGACTTGCAGAACTGTTCAAAACCGCCAGGCGAGATTCTACAGAAGATGGAAGAAGTGAGAAAAAGAAAAGGGGGGTAACAACGCGAGGATGTGGGCCGGAAGGGGGTGCGTACTCGCCGGTCTTGGTAGCGCAAGCGTACTTGAGCACCTGAAGCAGACCCTCCTTTGTCCAGCCAGTACAATATTTCTGGAGGTGGCCACAACGCAACCAGTTGATGGAAAACATTCGTTTAGGCGATGAGTTCAATGCATTTCTGCGGTTGGACTTATTGTTTACCTTGAGATTATCGATCGAAATGTGGCCAGCCTTCGAGGTGTCGATCTTGCTGAACACGTAGAACACCTGCTTGCGCTCTTCCTTCGTCAGTCCTCCTCCCATTTTGTTTGCGTTCTGCGTCGGCCGGATCGATTAATCAACAGGAAAATAATTCTCGGAGGTTATTTATATTTTATTTCCATTTTTATTATCGCTCGCTATTTATCTGTGGATGCTGGCGCGGGGCTGGCGTGGCCTTCGGCTCGGGGCGGTGGTGCTCGATGTGGACGGCACCCTGACGCGGAAGGACACCATCGAGGACGTCATCGCTGCCGCCATCGACGGCGCCTCCCGGTGCTACTCAGCTGCTACTCAGCAGCGCCGAGATGAACAGGGCGAGGGGCGCGCCAGGCCTGGAGATGAAGAAGACGCCGTGGGCCAGAGCAAGCGGCACGTGTGGGCAGGCCTGAAGGAGGCCTATGCCGGACCCTACGGCACCTTCCTCGACCACCTGCTGCCGCCTCAGCGCTCACACCGCACCGCCTCCCTGCTCCAGCACCACCTCCTCGAAGAGGAGCGTGTAGTACGCGCCTCCCCCTTGCTACAAGACCCCCTTCGACCATCGCCAACATCCGTGGCTCGCTGGGGCGCTCTACAAACCGCGATGACCGTGCGTGCATGCGACAGGAGTACGAGTCGGTGCGGCGGGTGGAGGCCGCGGGCCTGCTCGCGGGGCTGAGCACCGAGCAGTGGCGCGAGCTGGGCCGATCGATGGCACGCTCGGATCTGCTGCACACCGGCGCCGTCGAGTGCATTCGCCGACTGCGGGAAGAGGCGGCAGCCAACACAGATTGCGAAGGAGGACTCGCGCTGCACGCGCTGTCCGCCAACTGGAGCAAGGACTACCTGGCCGGCGCACTGGACGGCCTGATCGACGAACAGCACATCCGGACCAACGAGGTAAACCCCATGGACGTTCGTGGGTTGCATCGTTTGTACGGCCGCGGCCGCGGCGTTCGCACCTGACTAACTCCCTGGGTGGTTGCATCAGTTGGCCTACGACGAGGTGACCAAGCTCTCCACGGGCCAGATGAAGTTGCAGGTGGTCTCAGCGCTGGACAAGCAGCGATACATTCGATGTCTGCGCGAGGAGCTGCACAACCGGCCCAACAACGTACGTTGCTCGCACAGACTGTCCTGCCGTGTCGCGCACGCGATGACAGCTGACGCTGACGTGTGTGGTGTGTGTGTGCAATCATTTCCAGCGAGTGCTGTATGTGGGCGATTCGCTCAACGATATACTGGCCTTGTTAGAGGTGAGCGACGCCCGCCTGCACTTGCTCAGGTCAGAGAGCGGTTGTTGATGTGTAAGCGGTTGTTGCTCTCTTGCAGGCCGACTACGGTGTGCTGATGGGAAGCCGCAAGACCGCAGCGGAGGTGCTGCGGGCCTACAACGTCGAAGTGAGGTACGGAAAGATGGCAATGATGCTGTTCGTGCATGGCCTTTCTTCTTACGTTCGTTCTTACGTTCCACTTCCTCGACATGATCAGGCCACTCGCCAGCTTCGAGACGAAGTTCGCACAGGAGCCCAACGCGCAAGGTACCCACAACCAAAGGGCTCGACCCACCCCCGTCCACTGTCTCACGCGCGTGGCCTCCTCGGCGCAGGGCCAGTGGTGTGGCAGGCGAACGACTGGGGCGAGGTGGTGAGCTGGCTCTTCCCGTCGGACGAGAATCGAAAATGAACATGTTGTCTTCTGAAGCTTCAGCCTTGCGCTCGGGGGGGGGAGGAGATGAGTGGGGGTACATATACATCTCTTAGTAGCGCTTGACGGCACGTGAAGGCTTCCACTGAACGGGGTGCGTCTCCTCGGTGGCGTCCTCGTCCTCCTTCCACACCTTGATGGTCTTGTCGGCCTCGCAGGTGATGAGACGCGAACCCGTTTGGTCGAACGTCATAGCGTACACGGCGGCCTCGCAGTCGAGCGAACCTGGTTGCACGCGTCGCGCAAGCAGAGTAAGTGACCCACTCGCCAGAGAGGAACGCGTGCACATGACGACGACGAAGAAGAAGGACGTACCAGGCTGGACGATGGTCTGAGTGCGCTGGTAGAGGTGGCCGGTCTTCCAGTCCCAGAAGCACAGCGAGCCGTCGTCACCACCGGTCACGAGCACGCCGTCCTCGTTGATGGCCATCGAGTGGACGATGGTGTTGTGTCCGGGGAGGTTGTGCAGGAAGTCGCCCTTGGGCAGCTTCCACTTCTTGATGTTGTCGGCCGAGGCCGACGCGAATGTGTATTCCCGCGGGTGCATGGCCATCGCGCGCACGCCCTTCTTGTGGTTGGTGAGGGTGCACATCGCCTTGCCCGCCGCCAGGTCCCACAGCTTCACCGTCGAGTCCATCGAGCCGGTCACCACCTGCGGGTCGGTGGCCTGCGTGATGATCGACACCACTGTCGCCGCGTGGGACGACAAGCAGTGGACCTACGACACACACAACGCATGCAGCACACAAGCATGGAGGTATGAAGGTGAGCCCACAGCTGGAGACAAGGCGAAACGGTCAAGAGGAGGAGAAGGCCGCACCTGGTTCTTCGTTCGCATGTCCCACACACGAGCAGTCGAGTCACGGCCTCCGGTGACGAGCACATCGATGGTAGGGTGGAGGGAGAGACAGTAGACGCCCGACAGGTGGCCGTGGTAGTGTCGGATGACCTTGTTGTATTCGAGATCCCAGCACTTGACCATCTTGTCCTCGGATGCCGAGAAGAGGTAGGGGTGGCGCGGCGACACGGCCAGGCCGCGCAGCGAGTTGATGTGACCCGTCAGGGTGAGCTTGAGCGTGCCCGATGCCAGATCCCAGATCTTGATCGTACGATCGGCCGAGCCGGTAACGAACCACTCATTTCCCGGATCGACGGCCACAGAACGAACCCAACCGAGATGGCCGCTGATGACGCGCATGAGTTTCCACGGCGCGTGCCATTCCGGCTTCTCGAGATTGAGGCCTCGTTTGGCCAACGCCATCGATGTGAATCCGCTGCCCGCCCCCTGCGCCTGAGCCGAAGCCACCTCGCGAAAGGCGACGACCGCCGACGATTGTTGTGCCGATGCGGCAGCTCCTGTCGAGGGCAGAGTCTGGAGCACCCGCTCGACCTTGTCTGATTCAGCTCCATCCTGAGATGCGGCTTCATTTGTGGCAGAGGGAGCCGGTCGCTTGGCAGGTGGTTGGAGATTGCGCACTGGCTCGTATTCGTCTTGAATCTTGGAGAAGAGAGCAAGTCGTTCGCTCTCCTCATTCTCGGGCAGAGGCGCGAATGTGTGGTGATTCCTGAGGAACAGATCGTACGTCCTCTTCAGCGAATTGCGAATGTATCGCGCCACCACCTCCTCGTCCGCCACCCCCTGAGTGGCCGCAGCCGATGTCGTGGTCTCTACCTCCATCGTTCACGATCGCGTTGACAAAAATCTTGCCTCGCGATCCTGACGCGTCGTTTTCCCTCCAGCCTTTTCTTTTCTTTTTCGACTCCCGTGACGTCAGCAGCCACCTTGCTGTGAGCTGGCAGAAAATGGGGGAAACAACCGCAATCGAAAAAGATGGAAACGAAAGGAGGAGAGGCTCCCTCGGCCGAAATGTTTCGCGTCAATGTCAAAACGCTCGACGGCAAAGTTCACCCCGTCGAAGTTGCCGCTACTGTACGCCATTAAGCTGCCTTTCTACATGTAGATCTGCATTCAGCGCGATTTTTCTGCAACAGCATTCACCCTCCATTTGTATTTTGTTTCAGACCACGATCAGTGAGTTCAAGGCAAAGATCTCGACCCAAACGAACGTGGCCCCCACGGCTCAGCGCCTGATTTTCCAGGGCAAAGTGCTCAAGGACGACCAAACCGTTGGCTCGTACTGTACAGTCTCCCGTCTTACCTTCTGGACTTATGGCCTTATCGGTCCTAACCACCAACGCGTGGCATGCGCGCTGCGCATTGTACAGCGATCAGGGCGGGTCTGACTATTCACATGGTGGAGCGCCCGCCGGAGGCACAGACGCCGCCCGCTGGGGCCGCGCCTACTGGAGCACCCCTGCCTACCCCGATGGCGGGCGGCCATATGCGCCCCGCCAGCATCGTCATGGGCACCTTCTCTCTGCCGAATCAAACAGGAGGCGCTCCGCCCGCTCTTGACAATGTACGCTCAACATTTGTCCCCATCGCGCTTGGTAGTAACTCTTTGCCAAGCGACGTGGCTTACACTAACTCGCATATGGTCGACCACATGCAGCTTATCAACAGTGTGCTGGGATCGCTGGGAGTGCCCATGCAAACCACTTCCATTCGCGTGACGGCCGCACCCTCCAACGGCCAGGCGCCCAACGTACCTCGATTCCCAGCTGCAGTGCCGTGCTGGTTGCTTGCCTGACATTTGTGTTACCAGGAAAATGCTGTTTGGGGTCCTGTGGAAAACATGGAGAACCATTTGCAGCAGTCCCTCAACACACTGCAGGGTACGTTGCATTACCCCTCTTCCGGGGCCATCGCGCCCGTGCGAAACATCCAGACTTGCGTTTCCAAGCGCCGAACTCGACAACTGAGTATTATTGGCCCACGCGCAGGAACACAGACCGCCGAAGCGGAGCAGTACCAGGCCCAAGGTCGCGCTGCCCGCAGGTTGTTGGCGTTGGCTGACCTCATGGACCGTGCCAGCCCCGTGTGGCGAAGGCTGGCACAAGCCGCGGTGCGCCTGCCGATCTGACGTCTAACTTCAACACATGGTGATCTGACTCTCCACTTGTTATCATGGAGTAGGACGCTGCCCCCGGCAGTGAGTCTTACCAGGAGTCACAGCAACTGCTGGCTCAGTCGGTTCCGCTCTTCCAGCAGCTAGCTTCCTATTTCCTTACACTCACCCCCGCCGTGGCGAGCCTTCGCCCGCCTGCCGCGACCCCGCAGGTGATTTACCTTCTCCGGCAACTGCACCCTTGCTCCCGCCCCAGCCACTGATATCGTCGTTGCATGTGTAGGGCGGAAGCGCTCAAGCTCAGGGCATTCCGCACACGCACCAAATGCCGTTCCCCTTCATGTTTCCGCCTCAACCCGGCCAGGCCGGCCAAACCAACATGCCGCACTTCCCCTTCCAGGCCTTCACACAACAAGGACAAGCCCAGCAGCAGCAGCAGCAAGCGCAAACTACCGGTCAATCGGCGACTCAGCAGACCCCCCTACCTGCCGGAGCCGCCGGCGCGCCGTTCGCACAGCTCATGTCTCAGCTGATGCCTGCTGTTGCGCCGCTTGCCCAGCAAATCGCCCAGCAAGTGGCCGCTGCTGAGTCTGACCAGGTATCCCTTTCTCCTTATCGCTTGCCAGTTACCTATCCGAGAACCTTACCCTATATTTGTGACGCACCGCAGGGAGGAGAAGCCGGCACCGGTGGCCAGGCAGCGCCGCCACTTGATCTGAACGCCCTGCTGTCTCAGGCGACCCAAGTGCTGCAGGGCCTCTCTGTGCCCCAGCAGCCCCAGCAGCAGCAACAACCGACGACTCCCGCGCAGCCGCAGTCTTCTGCAGCTGCTCAGCAGCCCACGTCCCCGGTGCTTCCGTCTCTCCCGCCTCTTGTCTCGGCTACCTCGCAGCCACCCACAGCAGCTGCTGCTCGGGCCGCCCCTCAGCCCACAACCACCCGCCCGACTCCTTCCCCTTCGGCCCCTGCTGCTGCTCCTCAGGGCCTCGTGCGTCACTCGCCTTCATGCCCCCTTTTGTTTGTCGCCAACATATTCACTGACGTAACACGCGATCTGCAGCCGCCTGGGCTGAGCTCCATGTTCGGTAATATCCTGCAGTCGCTCTCACAGCCCCAGCCTTCTGCTGGTGGTCAAGCGTCGGGTGCAGGAAGGGCAGCCCCGCCGATGGACTTCAACGCTCTGTTCTCCAGCCTTCTGGGCGGAGGAGCACCGCAACCTTCGCCGGCTGCAGGGGCCGCTGCGCCAGCGGCCGCCCCCGCCCCGACCAGTTCGGACAGGGACAAAATTATGGGCATTTTGACGCAGGCTATGACCGGCTCCGCGGCCTCGAGTGGCACCCTTGGCGAGCTTCTCACCGCCATGGACCAGCCTGGCTCGCCGCAGAGCTCCGAAGATGGTATCTCCCCCCCCCAACCAACCAGAGGCACCCCACTCACTGGCGTTGTGACTGTGTTGTACTAGATACGGTCCTGAGCGAGATTTTGGGCATCATCCTGGGCAGGCTCCGGCCTGCGGATGTGATCTCCATCCTGCAGGGCGATCTGGCCCCAACGGAGAACCTGCGCGGACCCATCGCCGCCTACCTGCGTCACCACGCTGGCATCGAGGCCGGAGCGGACGTCAGCGAAGAGCAGCTGTGGGGCCTTAAGGAGGAGATCGTGGGCGCGGTGGCCTCATCCATGGATGACTCCTCCCTCCCCGCGGAGATCACCTCCAAGCTCAAGCCCGGCGCTGGCCTCACTCCTGCTGGTTCGCCCTCCTCCTTTTAGGCCATCAACGTTACATTGCTGTGTCTTGCCCGGCTAACTCAAATTTGTTGTTGACAGCTGTCGAGGCCTTCAGCGTGCACACGCCCAAGCTTCTGCACCTCATCCTCGCCCCTGCGGACCCGTCGCCCGCCGCGCCGCATCCTTTCGCCACTGGCCTTCGTGATTGGTGCGTCTGATGGCTGATCGCAGCTTGGCGCGACGCCTCGCATTGAATTGGACGTGCTTCTCATCATAACGCCATTCCCCAATGTACACAGGGCTCGAGACCTCTCTGTCGAGTTGGTGACCCGACTCGCGGCCGCTTTCACCAACGGCATCAGTGATGTCCCGCAGTTCCTTCGCTTCTTCCTCCTCTCCGTACGGTTCTCCTTCTGGATCGCCCGCATAGCGTGGATCGCAACTCATCTCCTTCTCCACCGATTTGCATCGGTCAGAGGCTGAGCTTCGTGTCAGGAGAAATGCGCGAGGCCGCGGCTGACCTCATCACCACCTACGTTATGAGAATCTACTCACAGGCGCAGGTACGACAGCTTGGCCGCGCTTGCCCCGCGATGTCGTTCAGCTGAACTAACAACCCGGGGTTTAACGAATGCACAGGCCAGCGAACAAATCCGCGAGGCTCGGACCACAGCGCAGGCTGGACAGCAGAACGCCACCCGACGCCAGCGCGAGGAGGACTACGACGAAGACGAGGGCGATGACGAGGATGAAGGTGAAGACGAGGATGACGTGCCGTCGTCGTGGCGGCAGACCCTAGCCGACGACGCGCTCAGGCAAGCCATGTCCCCGGCCTCCACTGTGCTCAGCGAGTGCTATCTCTCCGGCTCCCTGCCCAAGGCCTCCGCCTCCAAGCGCCAAAGGGTGCGGTCCCTCTCCACACGCATTGGCTGTGTGTCTTGCAAGATGGCTGCAGCCCAGCACTGCACTCACCTCTTTTACATTATCGGTGCAGCAGACTGGTAACTGAGCGCCTCAGAGGGTGAGGGGGTGTGAGCATATTCCTTAAGTGTGTCAGTTTTTTTATTGTCCGTTGTACAGCTCCACAACATGCATCTTTCGTTTTGACAAGCACCACCTTCTTGTTCTCTTGCAGTTGTCCCCCTCGTGTCTAATTTGTCGACAATGACGGTGGAGCCGATCCGTTGGCTTTTCGCCTGGGTTTGCTGGGCGGAAAAGCAAACGGAAACCGATGCGTTTTCGAGTCACCACAAGCCCACGGCACGGTCACCCGAGAGAGTTCTCCACTGCCCTTCCTTCACTACTTTCCTCAAGCAAACTCAACGCCACCCCTTCCGGCCTGCCTGCGCCCCCCCCCCCGGCCAGCCACGACCCCAAGCCGGTCCCACTCCCAACACAACAAAACACCCTCACACACTTACAGCCACCATGCAAAGAATGGGCAATGTCAGAAGAAGAGGGCTTGCTGTGCTTCTTCATCATCAATTCCCAGGTACCGCCCCCCTCCCTCCCTCCCTCCCTCTTCATTGTCCTCCACCCCTGGGAGTTTAATGCATGGTGCGTAGAAATTGAGAGCGTGCAGGAGATAGAAAAGGTGATCGCCCTCTTTGAGAAAGTCGACCTCGAACACAACGGCAAGGTCAACAAAGGTTCGACTTCTCCTTGTTTGCCTGCCCTCTCTGGTTTCCTCACCACTCCCCGGGGTGCTCATATGTGCAGAGGAATTCAAGGCCTTGCTCGAGGAGCTCAAGAGGAGCGGAGCGGCCACTGTCGCTGGCTCCGCTGACAAGATGCTTGTTGACCTCGTCTTCTCTGCTCTCGACAAAGACGACAGGTTTAGACCGCTTCGCTCCTCTTTGTCCGCACTCACTCACGCCACACCAACACCCAACCCATCTCACCTCAGTGTTATATTTTACCACCCTTCCCGTGCGCAGTGGCGACCTCAACCTGGAGGAAATCCTCGCAGGCTATCACACTCTGTTCGCCGACGAGCGAATGGAGCTCGCCCGCTTGTTGAGTCCGTCATTTCCCTGTACGATGCCGCCTTTCCTTACCGCGCAGCCTCGCACCCAGCCTGCCCGTGTGCTGACCTCTCTCTGCCACAGCCCTCAGCGAGAAGCAGATTGTTGACATTCTCAGGCTTTTCGAGCGCTTCGATGACAACGGAAACGGCATCATTGACAAACGTACTACAGCACGCGCCTGCGCACATTGTTGCGAGAGTTTGATTTGACAACTCTCACAATTGTTTAACACACTTTGGTGATGACCTTCAGACGAATTCTATCAGCTGAAGCAGGAGCTGGCGCCCTCGATCGTCGAGGTGCTGCAGCAGATACAAAGGGAGAAGGACGGCCCGTTGGTCGAGTCGGACTTCCTCGTCGCCTACCAGCGCATCTTCGGGTCCAAGTCTGACACCTCCGCCGCCCATGTCGCCGCCGCCGCACTCACCTCCGCGCTGTGCTGCCCAGAGAACGCGAGCCATCCTCCTGCGCCGCACGCTGAAGCTGCCCCGAGGACCTTGCCACACTCGCCAGCGCCCTCTCCCCCCGCCTCCTCCCAGCCGACGCCTGAGGGTCCTCTCCCCGCAGACAAGGCTCAAGAGGCGCCCCTGAGGCCGCTGCCCACTCCGCCTTCCACCTCGTCAGCCGCACCCGCCTCCGCCTCCGCTTCTTTCCCCTCTCCCTCCGGGCCTGTGGCTGCCTCATCGCCCGCGCCACCGCCCACGGTTGCGCCAGCCAAACCAACATTGGCCGAAGCTTCGGCTTCACGCCCTACCACGACGGCCCCCGCGGCAGCCGCCACGACGGCGCTTGATGCGTCCGCTACGTCTACGCCCTCCAACGAGGGCGCCACCCGGGCCGCCGGACCCTCCCAGCTCTGGGACGCGTTTGTAGCCTGCGAGGAGCCCCTCGAAGTGCGCCGCCTGTGGACGGTACGTGTGCCCGCCCAGACCGTGATCATTCTGCGGCTGTGCGCCGTCGTTGCCGAAGCGCGCACCAACACATTGATGATGATGATGATGATGATGATGATGATGATGAAAACACAGGAGCTGAAGAGTGCTTGCGGGGCGAACGACACACCGGGCGCACCCGCCTACGAGTCCGTGCGCAACCGGCTCATGTCGCTCCCGCGTTGGAAGCCCTTCTTCCAGCTCCTCGACAAGAAGAGGAAACAGAAGGAGTACGTGCTCGACGCAAAGGAGCAACCACGAGTCTTCATCGTCGGCGCCGGTCCGGGTACGATTTTTCGCCTCCTTCTTGTTGTGTGTGGTCAAGGCAAACTGTGTAGCTTTGGTGAAACGATGCAATTATTTGCATGCCGACCAATCCATGTGTGCCTTTGCAGGCGGTATGCGCACGGCGATCGAGGCGCTGCTGCTGGGCAGTCGAGTGACGCTGGTGGAGATGCGCAAGCGCTTCACGCGCCACAACCTGCTTCACGTACGTCTGCTTTTCTTCGAAACACCCTTGCGCAAAGGGAGCGCTTCGATCAAATGGTTGACGAAACGCAACAGGTGTGGATGAGTTCCATACGCGACCTCCGTAACATCGGCGCCAAGTTCCTCTACCCCCAGTTCTGCACCGGTGGCATCAAGTAACGTTTCTTCCCATCCGTGTGGCCTCTTGAGACAGCGCCTTACTCGTGTGTGTGTGTGTGTGTGTGTGTGTGTGTGTGTGTGTGTGTGTGTGTGCGTCGGGTGTGTGTGTGTGTCGTGTGTCAGTCATGTTGCTATTCGGCGGCTGCAGCTGGTCTTGCTCAAGGTCGCTCTCCTTCTCGGACTCAACTACTACCGTGCCTCCTACGTGAGCTCCCAGGCGCCCACCAACCCCGCCTCCAATCCGCTCTGGAAGGCCAACCTCAAATCCAAGGCATTCCGCCCTCCTCAGGCCTCTTCCCCACTTTGTGTGGCATGGCTGACGATCGAGCGGTCGCGTGGGGTTGCAGGAACCGATCAACGAGGACGACCTCTACTTCAACGTGCTGGTGGGCGCCGACGGAGAGCGTTCGTGCCTGGCGGACGAGTTCGCGTTTGAGAGGAAACTGTTCAAGGGTATTACCGATGGGCCGGTGGTTGCTTGTTCCGAGGGTACTGGGGCCAAGAGACTGACACGGTGCTGTGTTGCGTGTGTGTCGTGTGTCGTGTGTTGTGTGTGCGTGTGTCGTGTGTGTAGGAAGCGATGCGATTGGCATCACCGCCAACTTTGTGAACACGCAGACGCCCGAGGAGAAGCAACTCGACGAGTTCGGCCTGCTCTCGATCTACAACCAGGTACAGAGACCTACACACACCAGCTTTGACCTGCTTCTCTTTTCACTCATGATCCGTGGCTAGCAATTCTTCAACGAGCTCAAGGCCAAGAGCGACATTGAGCTCGAGAATCTCGTCTATTATCGCAACGAAACGCACTACTTCGTGATGACTGCCAAACGGAGCAGGTCCAACCACACACACGCACGACACACGCACACTTCCTGTCGGTGTGGCGTGCATGCAATTCTAAACATGCCCTCCTTCGCAGTCTGTTGAGGAAGGGCGTGCTGCGGCAAGACGGTCCACTGGAGACGGTTCTCAGCCGTGACAACGTGGACTGTGCCCAGCTCGAGCGCTTCGTGCGCGAGGTGGCCGATCACATCTCCCTCCCTGCACACTGCCAATTCATGAAGAACAGCCGCGGTGGCAACGACGTCGCTATCTTCGACTTCTCCAAGTACCTCTCCACTCCTCTTCGTTCTTTCCATGGCGTTCTCTTTTCATTCTTTCCTCACTCATGCGTGTTCGTGGACTACCCAGGAAACAGCAGGCGACCAGCCCGGCCAAGATTGTGAGGGAAGGGCAGGCCAAGCTGTTGGTCGCGATCGTCGGCGACGCCCTCGTTGAACCCTTCTGGCCCCAGGGCACGGGCGCGAATCGAGCGATTTTGGGGGCGTTGGACACGGCCTGGATGATCAAGACCTTCTTCGAGCGCGGCGGCTCGCCAGAGCAGGATCAGCCGCTGCTCGACGAGTGGGTGGCTGAGTTCAAGGTCATGGTACGGCTTCTTTGCGATCGCACTTTCCCTGTGTGCGTGTGCGCGTGCTCGTGTGGTCTTTGTCATCGTTGCTCACGTTATTTCCCACAGGTTTCGTCATCGCCAGATGACTTGCAGAGCAACTTGGGCGCCTTCACCATCGACCCCAAGACCCGCTACAAGAAGACCACTGTCACCCACTTCATGTGAACTTTTCGCCTTTCTCAAGAATGCAGGTCAAAAAACTGGACGGTTCACCTCACAGTTTGATTCTACAACTACAGACAGAGAGCCCCCCCCCCCAAAAAAGCCTCGTGAGACCATGGGCACCACCCCCAGCCGCCAATACGAAGATCAATTCACAGACATCAAGTGCGTGAAGGACCCTTCCGCCAAAGGATCGCGAGAGGGCAGGCCACATGTTTGTTATATCCTACCACCTCGCCGCCCCCTCGCCCTTCTTCCTGCCCACTTCACGTAAAGAAGAAGAAGAATGCTATGTCAACATTTCCTGGAGTAGAAATTGCTGTGCAACCCAAAAAACAACCCAACACGGAAACTTCCACATTAATAAATAATGAAAATGATAATGATTATTAATTGAGTAACGCCGCTATGGACATGACGGGATGCCGAGCGAGAGGCACGCTCGAGGGGGGCAGAGAGCTCGCGGAATAGCTGAGCGAAGACGGAGATGAAGGCGACAATGTCGCCTGTGCTGGCGAAGAAGGAAGAAGAGGCGAGGACGCGGGAGAAGAAGCGGAGATGGGCGACGACGGGATGGAGGAGGGGCCCGGCGGGGTTGCACGACGAGATGCGAGGGTGCGCGTCCTGCGTATCGTCGTTGGTGTTGGCGTTGTGGTTGCGGCCGGCGTCGTCCTCTTGTTGCTCTGTTTCGTTCTCTTCTTCGTGATCGTCTTGGCTGTCGTTACCATCTTCGAGGGCACCGTGACGGTGGTCGGCGGCTTGGCCGGTAATCGGAGCACTTGCGGGAGCAGGTGGGCCGCCTGGTACCACCAACAGTAGCTCCAACGTCAGCCACACCTTCATCACCATCATCAAGTACCCGCGCAGCAATAACAAGCCGAGTGTAGTGTAGCGCACCTCGTTCCAGTAGCGGTCCTGGTGGAACCATAGGAAGGAGCTCAGCACCTCTGTGCCCTCGCTGGGTGGTGCTGTAGTAGAGGTGGTCGTGGTCTGCATCGATGGTGCGACAGCAGCGGCGGTGGCAGCGGCGGTGATGGGCGTGACAGAGGGCCGTGGGACGAAAGTGGTGGCGTGGGGACGAGTGGGAACGGCGGAGGCACCGGGAGAGGGGCGTGGAAGAAGCCGAGCGTGGGTTGCCATCGTGGCGGTGTTTGATTGGGTGGAAGAATAAAAACGCGCTAGTCTGGTAGGCCCCTCAGAGTGATGATGGTGGCGACGACGGCGACTTGGGTGGAGCGCTGGCGGTGGTGGATGAAGACGATGTGGTGTGGAAGGTGGATTGGACCGGGCGACGGAGTGAAAGGAACGAACCGCTCACAATGGCTTGTGATGGCTTGCGCGGTTGCTTCCTTTCCTCGCAGCTGGCAGGAGGCGGGTGGCGGCGGCGGAGGTGGTTGCTTGCTCCTTGAGGCTTGGTCGTGGTCGCGTTGGTGGGCGTGGCGGCGGCTGACGGCGACTGGCAGCTGAAGGGGGAGATGCCGGGTGTGATGTGCGGTGATGCGGGGCCAGCAGGGGAGTTTGGGGAGTGTGTGGAGCACCCGGCGATGAAGAAGAGGAAGAAGAAGGAGACCCGACAAGCGAGATGAACGGGGTGCGCCGGACCGCCGGGACCTGTCGGGCTTGTCAGCGGGCAATGAGGGAGGTCTTTGACCTATTAGCTGCATTGGCAATCAGCACAAAATTTCCAATTGGAGCAACACTGCCGATCAAACCCGTCAATCGGAGGTGTGAATCGACTTAATGCTCCCACTTCTCTCCCAGTTGATGCTATCCTCCATATTCAAGCCGACATATCCCCCACGCTACATGTCCCAACACTGTTGCGTTATGGGACATTCACCAATCCTCCCACATCTCTCCCACTTGACGTTATCTTCCCTTTACCAGCGAGAAATCACCCACCCTTGGCACCACCCACATCTTCCGCTATGTCCCAACCCTTCCCACGTGTGATGGGACATACTGGCCAACACGTCTCATCCTCCCCTTTCGAAACAGCTTTCGAACTGTGTTTCGCTCGCGCTGAAACGCGGACTTTGGGAGTCATCCACAAATTGCGGACTTCTCCGGTCGGGCGGGGAACGACTCACCGTGCGTTCAAAACACGAGCGTAGGCCGCTTATTTTCTTCGCTGGCGCGCTACAGTCGATTGATCATCCTCGTCGGCGAGAGAAAGACTGAACCGATTCTCACGGAAGGACCAACACAACGCACCGCATCGGTTCTCGATCAATCACACTTCGCACACAATGTCGTCATCCAAGTACTGTTCGCGCGAGCCGCAAGATCTGATGCAGATTTTCGGCCGCATCGCTCAATATGCCGCCAAGTGTACGCTCCATCTTCACACTCTACACTCCATCTCCTCCTCCTCCTCCTCATTGTAGTGAAGATGAAACTGCTCCCAGCGGCCCAAATTATTTGTACTTCAGAACTCGCACGTCCTCACCATTACGTTTTGTTAATTATTTTTATTATAAATAACATTTTTTATTTAATTGTTTTATATAAATCATTTTGCAAAAGCGGTTCTAACGTGTTTTTTTGCCTCTTCTATGGAATGCGGCGTGCACAGACGTGGGCCAGCACTACGACTTTGACAACACGCGTGTGATCAACTTCGTGCCGCCCGACAAGCTGAAGGAGATCATCGACTTCCCTCTCCCCGCCGAGGGCTGCGGTCTCACATCCGACCTCAAGGGTACGACTGCCCTCTCGTGTTCGTCGACACGCACACAGCGCACACGCACACGCACACGACACCGTTCATTGATTGGCATTCTCTGTTTTTTTGTGTGCGTGGGCTCGTCCGAGCAGGCATCGAGAAGTACCTGGAGCAGGTGCTCGAGTACAGCGTCAGGACCGGCTCGCCTCGCTACTTCAACCAGCTCTGGTCTGGCACCGATATCGCCTGTACGTCATCGACTCTGCTACATGTAGCCGGCTTTGCTCTCTACTTTCTCGCATTTCCTCGAAAGAGGCTTAATCTCCGCAATCGTGTGTCGTGTGTGTCGTGTGTGTCGTGTGTGTCGTGTGTGTCGTGTGTGTCGTGTGTCTCCTTTAGGTATCGTGGCCGAATGGGTATCGGCGTTCACCAACTCGTCGACCTACACGTACGAGGTGGCGCCCGTCTATTCGCTCATGGAGATCGAGGTCATCAACCACCTCCTCAAGTTCGTCGGCTACGAGGTTCGTAGCCCACTCCTTCCTCCTCCTCTTCTTCTTCCTGGTTCATTCGCGGTTGGTGTTGAAGTGCTCACCTGGCCACCTTCGCCTTTTAGGGCGGTGACGGCATCTTGGCTTCCGGTGGCGCGACCTGCAACTTCATGGGCCTGCTCTGCGCCCGCGACAAGCTCTTCCCCGACTCCAAGACTGTACGTCACCACGCACGCACGCACGCACGCACGCGAAAGGCGTTGAATGTCGCCTGCGCTCTTGTCGTGTGCGGGCCGGCCGGCTGGCTCATCTCAACTCGGCAAACAACTGTTGTCGAAAATACAGACGGGCAATCCCGAGGGCAAGAAGCTGGTGGCCTTCACGTCGGCGCACAGCCACTACACCATCAAGCGCAGCACGTGGATGATGGGCATGGGCCTCGATGCCGCCATCAACGTCTCTGTCGACGCCGACGGCAAGATGAGCCCTCAGGCTCTTGGTTCGCACTCCCTCAGTTTTTAATTTTTATTTACAATTTTATTTACTAATTCGTGAATATTTCAACTATTTGTTTAGATGAGGCCATCACCAAGGCCAAGGCGGAGGGTCTCACTCCCTTCTGCGTGAACGCCACCTGCGGTACCACCGTGCTCGGCGTGTTCGAGGATCTCGTACGTCGTCTCACACACCACACGCCACACACGCCACACACGCCACACACGCCACACACGCCACACACGCCACACACGCCACACACGCCACACACGCCACACACGCCACACACGCCACACACGCCACACACGCCACACACGCCACACACGCCACACACGCCACACACGCCACACACGCCACACACGCCACACACGCCACACACGCCACACACGCCACACACGCCACACACGCCACACACGCCACACACGCCACACACGCCACACACGCCACACACACACAATGAGCGAGTGCTGACAATAATAATGCGGACGCTGTCGAACAGAACGGTATTGCGGACGTGTGCCAGAAGCACGGCGTGTGGCTGCACGTCGACGGCGCGTGGGGCGGTAGTGTGCTCGTGTCGAAGAAGTGGCGTCACAAGATGGCCGGCGTCGAGCGCGCCGACTCGGTGACCTGGTGCCTGCACAAGATGATGGGCATCAACCAGCAGTGCGCCGCCTTCCTCACCAAGGAGAGCCACCTCCTGGTATGCCATTTTCTTCATTCCTCAGTCCCCCCGGCGCACAGCCAAGCCTGACGCCGTCACCGCACACACGCGCACGCGCACGCGCACGCACACACGCACGCACGCACGCACACGCACACGCACGCTGTGATGACACACCTACAGAAAAAGGTGAACGCCAGCCACGCGGACTACCTGTTCCACTTCGATGACACGAGGCCGTACGATCTGGGCGAGAAGACGCTCAACTGCGGTCGCCACCAGGACTCGTTCAAGGCCTGGCTCTCGTGGAAGGTCCACGGCGACAAGGTACTGGCACCACCACCACTACTGCCTCCTCTCTTTCAGCCCTTTTCCACGCGTCCGCGCCGCTCACGCCTGCGTATTACCCCCCCAAACAGGGCATGGAGCAGAGGGTCGACACCAACTTTGCCAACGCGATCTACTTCACAGAGGAGCTCAAGAAGAGGAGCGACAAGTTCGAGCTTCTCTTCGAGCCCGAGTGCACCCAAGTCTGCTTCTTGTACGCTGCCACCACTCAAACTAACATAGTTGACACTTTGCGGCTTACCACCTCCGACACCACACACACACACACACATGCAG